ACCAAAGAACGTTGCGGTATAATCGTTAAACTCTCTTTATTGACTTAATGCCAGAATTTCTGCATCTAACGACATTTGAGATCATCAGGATGGAGGACCTGCTTTAGGCATATTTATTATCCTTTTGCAATCCTCAGTTATTCTCAAAAGCTTAGGTCTTTGTTACTAACATTCATCCTTTTGTTATATCCCTGTGAAAAATAGGCATTGAATATTAAAATTTCTTATATGAATTAAATATAGGCTCCAACTTGTTAAATATATCCATGACTTGTGACTTCGAGTCTCAAAATGGAACTAGGTTCAACTTCGGCTAGGTTTTTCTTTGCCTGTGCTGTTTCTGGATTCGCATTTCAATCTCCAAGTTGCAGATGCCATATTTTATCCCTCCTTGAGGCACATTATGAGTTACTTTCTCAAGCTCCTTCTCGAAGTAACTTACTGACAAACGGCTATGCATTTTTAGGGTAAGTCTGCACATATCTTACAGTATGTGACAGATTTCATTATAAAATCAGGCTTTCTCTTAAATTAATTATGCGCAGTTCAATTATTGATTAGTCGAGTTAACCTATACTAAATTATTTAAAATGCCTCAATGCTTACTCACATCACAGTCTCGGCTTAAGCCTTGCCTCGGCTTCATTTAAAAAAGGATTAATTTCATTTGCATGGATGCCATTCATCCTAGGCCAACCTCTCGTCATTCTATTGACAATCGTTCTCATATTTACTATTTCATATTGCGGATGATGGTACGTGCCTACATGGTTACTGATCTCGAGAATGGCTAAGTTTTTCACTTCGATTCTCTATAAATTTCTCTTAGCATTTATTTGAAGTATACCCTTTTACTAACTTTTTTGTCTCATATTATCTCGTCTTATATTTTTATTGGAGAAGCGGCTTTTTTTCGTGTCATCTGACATTAAGTGATTCCCTTTAAGTGATTTTTTCTTAACTTGTGCCCGAACGTTGTTTTTATCCTTTTTTTCCTGATTTGAGCCCTTTATTACTAAAATTCCAATTTATTAGTTTTACTACATAAAAAAATGTTGTCTTGATACTGATTGTACTCACTCAGCAATTGATCATTTGTTAGTGTATAAATTGCTTATTAATCTGTTAAATGTTAAGTCCGGTGGAAGCTTTAATGCTCTCACTGTCATAAATGCCAAGTCTTAGAATCCATAATTCACCAAAATATAATTATCCAAGATCTGGTTCGAACTCAGGTCTTGGCAATGCAAGAAAAGACACGTTATCTGTCATAACATTCTCCCCTTACGCCAAAGAAAACTAAGTAGCCATAGCTTACAAAACGGGATTGAACTCATTTATTTTCGCTATTTAGGTTACAGTGTTATCGTCATATGAGATGTTTGCTGCTAAATCTATCAGCGAGTCTTAATCATATTTTCATTTCTGGCCTTCGTGCAATCCTATAAAGTGAGGCTCTTGAGGATTTAACCCGATTTTAGCCACCAGAACAAGTCTTAGATACCATCAAAGTTTGGCTTTTTCTAAGCAAGAGCTAGTTTTATTATCGATTTTGAAATATGTTTGTGTCTAAAAGGAGGCTTCAAGGGACGTATTCCACACCGCATTATTTTGGCAGAGGACTATCAGCTGGATACATCTCATTTGACGTGTTTTATAAGGGGAGCTATCCTTAGCACTAAACCACAACTCACCACATTAACAAGTAAGGTTACTTCAATTTACAAATTATGTTTATGTTCCTTGGTCTCGTAGAATCCTGTCAATCTTACTTTTAGCCAAGTCTCATCTTTTAAACCAAATCATTGTCCTGATATACTTCGATAAATTTATGTTTTGCACTTACTTGATTTGCTCTTTTGAAGTATGGTTGCATTCATCACTAGTCTCCATCTGATCATTTGGGTCTCGACCAAAACGTACATTTCCTCGGTCCTACTTTTCATAGACTTGGTCAGCTGTGCCAATATGTTTTTTTTGTAATTGCCTATCTTTTCTCGTTCTACTTGGCTACTGTATTCTCCACTTTAAAATGCTAAGTCGCATGACCAGGCACTTGAAGTATTACTCAGAATTTTTCCGTGTGCTTCTTGTTGCCTCATGGCCATTAGACAAAAAATAGGGCATATCAGGCCTATTCTATCGCCAAAATATCATCCCTTTCCCTTAAGCATTCATTAGGCCTTGCTTATTTTATATTCTTAGTCTTTATATCACCTTCGTTTTGGACCACTATTAAGTAACTTGTTCTTTATTTCTTCATTAACTCTTCGCCCACAGCACATCTCTAATCCCTTTTACGAATTTGGGTTGGGGCATCTCATGACTAAGTATTTAAAATAATTAAAAGACCATATACTCTAGATTGAGGTCATGCCACCGTTAGCCCTTTAAGATGAGCCATTTGGGCGGAGTTGCAGGCCCTGAGTTCCTTCACCGTGTCCCTAATGATAAACGTCTAAAACAGTAGACTACTGGTCTATTCGGCTTGCGATGAGCCCTCCCAACTTTTGCATGTAATTCAATTGTTTTGACCAGTAGAGCTAAATTATTCTTATCTAAACTTCCTTTTGCTCCTTAAAAGCCCTCTCTCATGATACCTATTTTCTTTTATCTCTAATCGGAGCTTCTTCCCTTTGGTTGTCTTGCTGATTCCCATTTTTACTTTTTATGCCTAAGCATTAAGTAATATTCCGATTACTTCTTCCCCATTCCACTCTTCCTACTAGCTTACCTTTAAGAACGACTTTTATTGCTTACTTTATCTTCCTCTTCTTTGTATTTCTTTTCTTATGCTAGTATCACTATTGTTTTTTCTACTTTGTATTTCATGAATCACCTGAGGAGTTCCTCGATTTCTTTCGATAAATATGCTTAAGTTGCTGAAGCAAATTCAAACAACAGCTAAGCTAAAGACTACACTATCTTGGTCTTCATATCTACTTGCACTAGTTAGATATATCACTATTTTATCGATAATTACATGCTCTAACAGGTCTTTACTCAAAAATTATAATTTTAGGTTAATCTTCAGTTTAATTCTTTCATTTCTTACTTTTTATCTCGATTTTCTCAGACTTGAGCCGAATGTAAGCGGTACAGATGAATCTTCTCTGGATGAACTTACTGATTCTCTCAATCTCGAGTCAGTAGGAAAGGCTAATCGTAAATCCGTAGCCTTGTTTCGCAACAGCTCAAATCATGGAATTACCGGAACCGATTTAAAACTTGAAGATAGTGTTTGTAATCTTTTCTCTTCACCATTACTGGCAGAAGATACCTCATCAACTAAACAAAAAGGCACCCATGCTGAATATAGCAAAACGGAACGCCTTTCAGAGGCAGAGGAAGATTTTAACGAAAAATCGAATGCTCGCTTGTCAAGAAGCAGTAGTCTTAGTTCACTAGATTCTTGTGTAAGCCACATTCTGCTTTCTACCTATATACACATATACTATTGTGTCCAATTATTTATCGCTATCTTGCATATTTATTCTGTCTCTAGGCAGAAGATAATCGCATTGGACTATCACACGGTACATGCCCTGAAGAACGATCCAAACCGGTTAAGATGCTCTCCAAACGCCGCGGTAGGCCTCCGAAAGCATCTCAAAGTTGTTCCAGGCGAGCCCATACTCGTCCGCCTAAACGCAGAGGTAGACCACCAAAACATCCTGACCAGTCCGTCTGTAAGGAAGGGGAGGCAAGAAAAACGTCGATAAGCGATTTATCCGACGATGCTCAACTTCAGCAGCACCATGAGATGTCCGGGTCGGAGGATCTAGTTACCTCTATTTCTCCTGGGCACTTAAAACAATCCCTTACTTCCAACTGTGAGCATGAGAGGAAGTTGAGTCTTTCAGCTTCAGCTTTTGACCAACACAAAGGCAATGCGGATTTTATGGTGAGATATATAGCAAAACCTGGTTTCAAAGAACCTCTTAATAGAT